GTAACTAGGTATCGTAACTAGGATTAAACCATAAAAATATGATATTATGAATGTAAATAAGCTAATTAATAAAAGAAAGAATGAATTGAGGAGTTGTCCTTTACACCTATAGCTCCACTCCCCCACACATTTCATTCTAATTTAATAAACAGACCTTTGTTTATCTTTGGTCTGCTAATTATGAATAATTATGGGGAAAAAAAGAAAAAAAAAAAGGCAGTACTAAGGGACTGATCATAAAGTATGAGGGGGGGGGGGTCAAAATCAGAATAGAATAAGTGTTTTTTTATCTTGGCCCATTATAAAATGATGCTGAAAATGTGATGACCCAACCCCAGTTTCGAAGCAAAATTGCAGATGACCCACCCCTGAAAAAAGGATTTACATATATTCATTCTAAATCCCAAAAGAATTTTCTTGGTTGCACACGTCTACCCGCTTCTTGTAATATTGACTGTTTCGGCTTCTTCTTTCTCTCTGATTTTTAGTTTAGAGACTCCAAAGGGCTCCATCTATTATTTACTGTATCCTAAAAGTAGTTGAACTGATGACACCCCCACATTCTTATTTTGGGGACTAAGGCCCTACATCCCTCACAGGTCACAGGTCTGCTGCGTATAGAGCATTGGTGTTGAGAACGATGCAAACTTTCTGCAAAGATTTTTCATAAAAATGGAGTTCAATTCCCAGAGGATAGAAAATGTATTACATGGCTGCTGTGACGTCACGTCAGGGGAGGCAGAAGCTGAAAATCTTTGGGGGGGCACTGAAATATTACATATAACGCTATGTAGTAATAACCGCTGTTTTGTTTGATTGCAAAACATTTCTTGGCCTCCTGGTACTGCCTGTAATCTACAGTAGTTGGGATGGGTATGAATTTTAGTATCTACGTAGTATTAGCTATTATTTTTAGTATTATTCTCAAGCATTAATCATCTTTATCATGTAAGGTCATTATCATTTTCGTTCAGTAATAAAGCATGCATGCAGGAAGTGGCGTAAAAGATGAAAGAAGTGTGAGGAGAAAAACGAGCTGTAGGCCGAGTGCTTCTCACACTTCTTGAGTGCCTACGGCACTTCCTAAGTGCTTTATTACTGAATGAAGCACGGTCAAAATTGTTTATTTGTTTTATYATATAGCTACTTTTTTTTCTTCAGTATTGATCCATGGGTTCAAAAAATGTTTGAATATTTCAATTTAGTTTTTTAATTACATATATTTTAAGTCTTATCATATTTGATTTTTCTTCCTTTGTTTTAGTAACCAGACTCACTTACCACAATACCCTTGCAACAAGCCACTGAAAATGAATCATGCAAATAATAGGTGTGCCTTGCCTTGTGAATGGGTGTCTTTTACCAAAAGTCAAGATACTGCACAAACTATAGTTGATAACATCTCATTGACGATAAGCCTGCTTGGATTTTTGTTCATCCTTCTAACATGGATATCTATTAAACGATTGTAAGTAAATAAATCAGGAAACATGGGTGGTGTACTTAGACTTGTCAGACTCATTAATAATTGATGAGGAAAACACAACAGAAATCACGACCGTGAAGAGTGTTGTAAATCTGATACAAAATTGTGTTCATTTGCATAAACTTTAAGTTGTATTTCCTTGGCCAGATTCACTTCAATTTTGAAAATTTTAGTGAAACACAAAGGAACTAACCTAGACGTTTGACAAGCAATCTATAGTATTGTGTCCGTGTTGTATCCGATATACAAACTCTTAGCTACGCCTCCAGTTTGTGTATCTGATACAACACGGCCACTCATACTGTATATATTACTTCTAAAAGGCATTAATAATTCATGAGGAAAACTACCAATCAAAAAAGTTGAAATGATCATGTGATGTCATCTGAGTGTGTATCCCAATACARGTCAACAATCTAAGGCCCCATCCACACATATCCGGAAATGTTTGTATCCGCAAATTTTTTTTTTTGGATACGGGTTGCGTTTGCAAATTTTTGTGTCCGTATCCACAAATTTTACAAAAACGGATACTTGTGGACGGTGAAAACGATCCGAATACGCTGCATGTGGATGCAAACATTTTTGTATCCACAAAAAATAATTTGCCGATACAAACATTTCCGGATACGTGTGGACGGGGCCTAAAAGTTGGGGACAAGGGGAGTGCGGGGCTAATGTAATATTTCCATGCTGATTACAGTACGCTGATTGGCTGATTCAAATCTTTTAATATTCATGAGTTCTGTAACTGATATTTATGAGTTCTGTAACAGATATTCTTGTGTTCTTTAACTGATATTCATGAGATGATACAGAACTCATGAATATCAGTTACACAACTTGTAAGGATATCAGTTATTAAACTAAAGAATATTAGCCAAACTCGGATTTTGGCTTCCGAAATTGACTCATCGAGACTTGTTTGCCTACACACAATTAAAAAGATCGAGATATTTTTTACAAACTGCCATCTCACCAGTGACCTCTGTCACTAGACTCAGTGTCTTATGTGTGTAGAGTTGAATGTTTTTCTAAAGACTCTCTGGTTTTCCCACCTCTGCAAATAATTATTTAAACTTCAAATTTCCAATCCCCTGTTAATTCCCATTATCATCATCATCGTCATCGTCATCAATAATTATTGGCCTAATTTTAATCACTGAAACTCAAAGAGCAAGACTGCTTCAGAGCACTGAAATCTTCAAAATTTGGGTTTCTTTGGGTACCAGTTTACATAATTTGGGTTTCTTTGGGTACCAGTTTACATAATTTGGGTTTCTTTGGGTACCAGTTT